CTTTATGCTTGTACTTTTTAGCTTCCTGTTTTTAATGTTTTATCTGCCTGTACAGTGTGCTTGAGTGTTTTGATAAGGCGCTTTTAAATTAAATGTATTACTATTATTATTATTGTTATTGTTTACTAGTATGGTGATGAGGAGAGAATACTGTAATCTTTAATTACCAACTTTATTTGATTTCTGCTGTCTATACCAGGCTGTGGAGAGTAGTAGAGTAGGGATATGGATTTATAGTAAAATAATATATTTTTTTGTTATTTTCATAGGAAATAACACATACAAAGATGCCCTACTTATGTGTGTGCCCTAAAATAGTAGAGGAGGCAAAAATGGACCATCTCCGACCCCTTTGTCTCTGACTGGCCTCAAGAAGCGCTTTGCACATGTGTTCATGTGTGAACTTTTTGACAAAACCTGAAACTAGCACCTTTTAGTCTCTGTATTACATAGTATATTAAGTCTTTACAGCATTATTTGGATACATATTGAATTGAATTAGTTTCAATGAAACGTTTATAGATGTCAAATGTTCGGCAATCGCAGCTTACAGTGGTATCCTGCAGTTATATTATCTATTGCAAAAACTAAGTTCCTCGGGAAGTCTCAAATGGATAATTCTCTTGAAGTTACCTTCCCTTTAAAAAAATAATCAAGACAAGCTGCCTTTCTACAGTCTTTTTTTAAATCATGCAAAACTAAATAATAGTTTTCCAATTATATCTTTCTCTTATACTCAGAAATGTTATCGGGAAAGACTAAATGATTTCTAAGAGGCCATTTAGAGATGTGTCAAAAAGTATATTATTTTATTTGTCCCAGAGGGCAGCAGGGAGAAGACTCCATGGTGGGGGTGTGTGCCAGTAGTGCCATTTTGAGGGTGTGTTTTCAAATGTTATCATCCCACTTTGGGGATGGATCACCAAGACAAACATGAGGTCAGAGGTCTGGATCTCAGACACGAGCAGCTGAAGATCAGAGCGAGGAAACAAGCAGAGACTAAACTAGAACCTTCTATCAGCTCCAACAGATGAGACCAGTTTTAGTTCCCAGAGAAAACAAAGAAAGATCACGGCAGGAACCTGGACAGAGGGTGCACCAGACCTGGGCAGAAAGGTTGTGGGAGACAGTGGGAGATCCAATTCAGAGATATAATATTATTAAAGAAGAAATATAAATCCTACTGTTTAAAAATATTTTTGTAGAAGTATCAACTTGAGCTTTTCACTAAAGTAAAAGGGTAAAAGTACAATTTTTAAAACTAGTAGTAATTAAAAAAATTAAAAATAATGCAAGAAAAAAGGTAAAACGTAAATTTATTTCTACAATTCAGGATAATAACTTCCTTATACATAATTTTCCGTTATGGTAACAGTGTCAAATTTAACTTACATTATCTCTAAGTTATTTTTATATGTGGTAAACAATACGTTGGGGCAGCACCAAGTCCAACCGCAATGAAATTCATTGTCTGGATGATAAGATTTACAGTGGAGGAAATAAGTATTTGACCCCTTGCTGATTTTGCAGGTTTGCCCACTTACAAAGAATGCAACAATCTATAATTTTAATCATATGTACATTCTAAAAGAGAGAGACAGAATCCCAAAGAAAATTCCAGAAATTCACATCATATGAATTTATAAAAATTGATAACAATCTGATGAGGAAAAACAAGTACATGACCCCCTACAGAACAGCAAGTATTCTGGCTCCTCAAGCCAGTTAGTCTTTCTTTAAGACACAGCCCCAATCCCAACCAATTATCTACATCAAATACACCTGCTTCACCTCGTTACCAGTATAAAAGACACCTGTCAACACCCAAACAACCAGCATCCAACATCACCACCATGGGCAAGACCAAAGAGCTTTCTACAGACATCAGGGACAAGATTGTTGATCTGCACAAGGGTGGGATGGGCAACAAGCGAATCGGAAAGCAACTTGGAGAGAAAAGATCAACTGTTGGTGCAGTTATTAGGAAATGGAAGAAGCACCACACCACCGCCAACCTCCCTCGGTCTGGGCCTCCACACAAGATCTGGCCTGG